TTTGGTGCTTTCTGGGTGCCGGGGGAAGACTGGCCTCACCGAACCTTACAGGGGATAGTAGCGTGGGGGGGGATGGGCGGGAATATAGATTATGGGGAATGAATCAATACACTCCAAAGATAAAAATTTCATGATGGCTGTAACAATAGAGGTGCAAAGGTTGAGCCAGGGAAAAGGCAAGGTACCATCCTGGTCTCCCTGTATATATTGGAAACCGAATACAGGGCTGGATGCATTTTGGGGTCTGGTCTGGCTCGCTCCTCTCTGTTGATGCTGTGAACCATTTGGAAAAGCCCCACCTACCTCACAGGGTGTCTGTTGTGGGGAGGGAAAGGGAAAGGAGATTGTAAGCCACTCTGAGACTCCTTCGGGTAGTGAAGGGCAGGGTAGAAATCCAATCTCCTCCTCTTCTTCTAGATGGATCCTTGGTTTGAGCCCATCCAACTCTTTGAACCTCTGTTTCTCAGCCTAACCTACCTCACAGGGTAATTGTGAGGCAAAAATAGAATGATGCTAGTTATCCCATTCTGATCTTCCCAGGTGCAAGGCAGAATACAGGTATGATTCATAAATAAAACCCAGGGAAAACAACAAGATAGGCATCATTGATTGCCTTCCCATGCATTTCAGTGAGATTGAATCTCTTTAGAACTGCATGCACTGCGATTATTCCTCCCGTGACTTTCTCTCCTAGGCTACAGGTTTCTTTTTCTTCGGTAGCTTTGGGCAAATTTTAGAACAGCTATGCCACTGTAATGATTTCATGTTTAACCGTGTGTATGTGCCTTTAAAAGTTTGGTTGCATGCCTGTGTGATAGTCTAATGTGATTGAAACAGGTAAGTGGTGTGAGTGGTGAGTGACAGAGAGGGGGAGGGGTTTTGGAAATGATTCTGTGTGGATGAGCAGATATGTCAGTCAAGAGTGTTAGTTAGTGAGATGACAGTTGAAAGTCAGTTAAGTTCTGTGACAGGGAGAAGAGTGAAGCATCCCTGTGTGGGATGAGTTTAGTTCTGGGGTCTGAAGGAGAGACCTTCTTGTGTGTGGTATGAGAGTTAAGTGCTGTGTCTGAAAGAAAGTGACAAGCAGTTCTGTGTTGAAACAGTTATAAGCTGAAGCTGAGTGTCTAGGAAACAGTAAAGATTATATGGACATGAAGGAAAAAGTGTTACAAAGTTACCTAAGGAAAAATCCCTGTCAGTAGGGAGCAGACTGTGTGTTATACCTACTTTACTAGTTACATGGTTCTACCCTCGTATAGAATATCAATTGTTAAACCAGAAAGAGGAACTTTGTATTTGGAAAAGTATGAATGTTAAATGGACTTGTTTAAAATACTTTATTGTTTGTAAAACTGAAAATAAAATGTTTTTTAAAAAAAGAACTGCATGCACTGCGATTATTCCTCCCGTGACTTTCTCTCCTAGGCAACAGGTTTCTTTTTCTTCGGTAGCTTTGGGCAAATTTTAGAACAGCTATGCCACCCTCCCCAAAAAGATATTTTCAAACCCTATTCCAGAAAACCCTTTTGGAGTATCTCAAAAGGTTCTCGGGTTCCAAAACGAAAAGATCAGTAATGGCATAAACATTTCCCTGAACACCGAACAGTCCTCTGGTACTGAACTTTCCTTACAGTACACAGTAACAAGAAGCAGAACAAAGTTTGAGTCCGGTGGCACCTTTAAGACCAACTAAGTTTAATTCTGGGTATAAGCTTTCATGTGCCTCCACAAGTGTATGGGCACACAAAAGTTTTTGCCCAGAATTAAACTTTGTCGGTCTTAAAGGTGCCACTGCCATCTTTTACTATTATTGTCATCACTGGTCGATTCCTAGATCGATTTGGATCACTCCAGTTCTTACCAAACACCAATTACCTACTGAACTCTGGGTGGTCCCCTATTTGCTCACAGATATTAATCCTGAAATTAATTTTGTTACAATTTTTTTTATTGATAGTTTTATCTGTAAAGCTACAAAATCTGGTCTGTCCCAATTGTAATGGAATTTGGTACATACTCAGTGGCTCAAGTGGTTAAGATGCTGAACTGCAGGCTGTGGAAGGTCAGTAGTTCAGCAGTTCGAGACCCGGGTGCCGCATGACGGAGTGAGCTCCCGTCTCTAGTTCCAGCTCCTGCCAACCTAGCAGTTCGAAAGCAAGAAACTGCAAGTAGATAAATAGGGACCACTTCGGTGGGAAGGCAACAGCGTTCCGTGCGCCTTGGTGTTTAGTCATGCCGGCCACACAACCACGGAAACGTCTTCGGACAGCGCTGGCTCTTCGGCTTTGAAACGGAGATGAGCACCGCAACCCTAGAGTCGGATTCGACTGGCTTTCGAGCAAGGGAACCTTTACCTTTACAGTTAATATAATGTAAATGAATATTTAAATGAATCATAGTTTTATTAATGACTTCTGTTTTAACATTTTTGGATTTTTAGATTTGTTTATTTTGACTGTAAAATTTGATTGTAAACCTCAAATCTTGAGGCTAATTCTGTATATTCATGTTTAATCACTGAGCTTAAGACCTTGATCATAGAAGCTAATGAACATAAGTCAGTAAAGATGCCACTGGACTCAAAAGCTTTTGCCCAGAATTAAACTTGTTTGGTCCTCAAGGTGCCACTAGACTCAAAAGCTTATGCCCAGAATTAAACTTGGTTGGTCTTCAAAATGCCACTGGACTCAAAAGCTTTTGCCCAGAATTAAACTTGTTTGGTCCTCAAGGTGCCACTAGACTCAAAAGCTTATGCCCAGAATTAAACTTGGTTGGTCTTCGAGGTGCCACTAGACTCAAAAGCTTATGCCCAGAATTAAACTTGGTTGGTCTTCGAGGTGCCACTGGACTCAGACTTTGTTCTGTTGCTTCAGACCAACACGGCTGCCTGCCTGAATCTAGTAACAAGAAGGACATGGGTGTACTCTCAAAGACAGTCCCCATTCACATGAGCCTCATGCTTGGGATCGGGAAAGTGCTCTGGCTCAGTGGCAGAGCCTTTGCTTTGCGCACAGAAGGTCCCAGGTTCAATCTAAAGCATCTCCTGTTAAAAGTAGGTGATGGGAAAGACCTCAGCCTGAGACCCTGGTGAGCTGCTACCAGTCGGCAGGCAGTGTTGACCTTGATGGACCTGGTCTTGTTCAGTATAAGGCCGTTTCATCAAGCCTCCACTCTGATATAACCCAAAATCTTCCGCAGTGCATGGGATTTTCACAGCAGATGCTCAGAATTACACTGACAGACACATCGGATAC